AATTGTCGAAGAAAGTATAGCATAAAATCACATTCCAGTATCGGCGATAATCACCAATATTTCCGAAGCTTATCGGAAAAAGAAGAGAAAAAATCGGATGAACGTATTCCATATTGGAAATTGCTTAAGCGAATTTTAAAGTTGACAAAACCGGACTGGTGTATTATGGTTGTGGCCACCTGTAGTTCATGCTTCATTGGCGCCGCAATACCAATGTTTGCAATTTTGTTTGGTGAAGTCTTTGGTGTAAGTTGTGACGAAGATTATCAAGTTTGGCTTTGTAGAATCAGTGTTAGAAAAGTGTACTCTTCTCTTTTTGCTCAACAGTCATTGTCAGAAAATGTGGATGAGGCCAAGGATTCCGTGCGCATCATTTGTATAGCGTTCTTGATTATGGGCGTGATTATATTCATTACCGGATTGGCTCAGTCATACTTTTATTTAAAGGCCGGTGTTAATTTAGCAACGCGAATTCGGTAACTGTACCTCAAAATGAACATAGTAGAAGAAATTCTAATAATTTTATCAAGCAGATCAATGACGTTCGCGCATTTGATGCAACAAGAAAGCGGCTGGTTTGACGAGGAAAAGAATTCGTCTGCAATGCTTTCAACACGACTTACATCTGACGTGGGTAATTTGCAAAGTGCCATTGGATTTCCCATCAGCAGTATCGTCCAGATGATTCCCACATTCCTGGTCGGAGTAGCAGTATCACTGTTTTACTCCGTACAATTGTCGTTGGTCACCTTGATTTCAACTCCGTTTACATTTTTAGCCGTTTTGCTGGAGGCTAAGTAAGCTGTCATTTGCACATTTCTTTCGGACAAAAAATTTACATTTCCTGGCATTTCCAGGCAGACGTCCAGAATGGTTAAGGAAATGGAGTCTACAGAAATTGTAACAAAAATTGCAACCGAAGCCATCACTAACATTCGAACAGTGGCCAGTTTAAGTAGGATTAAAATTTATCAAACAATGTCAACAGTAAGAATTTTTCTTCGATTTTCAGGACAAGAAAAGTACATGATTGAGCGATATGTAACCGAATTTACCAAAGTGGCGTCAATCACTCGAAAAAGAATCGCATGGCGTGGTTTTGTCTACACAATTTCACAGACAATACCATTCCTCGGCTATGCTATCACACTATGCTACGGTGGATTTATGGTCGCTGACAAAGAAATTCCTTTCAAAGACATTATCAAGTTCGTCCCCACTCAAAATATTTTAACTAAAATTATTAATAATTTTTCTTCATTAAAAAACGCCCATTACATCATTTTTTTGTAGAATTTCAGAAGCGCTATTGTACGGAATAGCTGTAATAGCCCAAACATTAATCTTTGTGCCGGAAATTACAACAGCTTTTGTTGGAGCGCATCGTATATTTCAAATAATTGACCGCGAATCAATGATCTCTTCACCCATTTCCGCCAACACATACCAAAAATCCGATGACAAAAACAATGACATTGCTTATAAAAAGATCGATTTTCATTATCCGACCAGACCCGATGTGCAAATACTCACGGACTTCAATTTGAATGTGATCGAAGGAAAGACGATAGCTTTGGTTGGCCCGTCTGGATGTGGAAAAACAACTTGCATACAGCTATTGCAACGATTGTACGATCCCGAACACGGTCAAATTCACATTGGTTCAGATGACGTACACCGAGATATATCACTCCAAGACTTGAGATCGAAACTGAGCATTGTCTCACAAGAGCCTGTGCTATTTGATAAAACAATAGCCGAAAATATTGCTTATGGAGATAATTCACGAGAAGTGACAATGGACGAAATAATGAATGCTGCGCAGTTGGCCGACGCACACGAGTTTATCACACAATTGCCATTGGTATGATACGATCAATTTCATAATATGAAATTACTGCACTAGATATGTATTAGCATTATGCTTTAATTTCTCTTGTTTAAAGGGCTACGAAACAAATGTAGGAAGTAAAACAGCCCAATTATCCGGAGGTCAGAAACAAAGAATAGCCATTGCTCGTGCCTTGGTTAGAAATCCAAAGATTCTTTTGTTGGATGAAGCCACATCCGCTTTAGACTTTCAAAGTGAACAGGTACATCGAGATTTATTCAATCGCTTAGACACAACTATAAATCGTCAATTTTCATCTTCGGTAGGTGGTTCAACAAGCCATCGACTCGGCCCGATCAGGTCGCACATGTTTGGTGATCGCTCATCGCTTGAGCACCGTTCAAAATGCCGATGCGATTTGTGTTCTACGCGGTGGCAACATCGTTGAGTATGGAACTCACAACGAACTTCTGTCATTGGGTGGCATTTACACTCGATTATACAATGCACAGATATGATTGCGCAAAATTCCGGATAATAAACAATCAAATTGTTAAACAGTGGTGTTTCTTTAATAATAAAATTGCATCGGGCGATATTGGCATTTTTTCTCATGTCACGTAAATATTATTAAAATTCATCTAACTACAACATTATCTTGAATCGTATAGAACGGTCCTCTTATCGGCTCCCGATCTCGGTGATTTTTTTGTTGTTGCGATCATTTCTTCGTGGGCTTACAAAAATGGTTTATTTTCAGGGCATCTGTCCCGTATTTTGAAGCTTACTTTTGTTGAAATAATTGTGGGAGGTGTGAGTCTTCAATAGTAAAAAGCAATAACGCCGTTACAATAGATAAATAATACAAACTAGCAAGTGGTATATCACTGTTCGCGTTTGTATTTATGCTGAATCATTTGACCTTTCAAATCGAGTGCTGCATATTGTTGCATATTATCATATTAGTTGGAATAAACTACCATTCTGATTGATAAAATGATGATATCATGATGATTGCGATATTGCCAATTAAAAGTATTCGCAATTACGGATGCACACAGATCATTTCTCCAAAGTATAAATACTGTGTGTTTCGAATGCGACATTTGTCAGATCGCAAACATTTCAGTCTTGAGCCGCGTGGCGCACGATACAGGAAACGATAGCTCTCACTACTGTGCACGTTTGGAATATTAAGTTGGAATCGGTGATAGTTTGTGACATTTCTTTTTGAACTCGTAATAATTTTTCGTGTAATTTGTGTATACTTGTCTCAATCGTCTTCAACGATTGATTAACGCTTAAAAAGTGTCCCAATTTGAATTTATTCTGTACATTGTATCCGAAAGTGGTGCAGTGAATACAAAAAATGTAAGTCACCGTAAAAGCTCTTAAATGAAGTGATGTAATTAGTGTTTTATTAAAAGACATTAAATAACTTGGTTTGAAATGAAAAATCAAATGGTAAAAAGGTAATAAGTATAAAATGGAAATTTTTTTTTTTTATAATTTTCTATATTTAATTTCGATTAATCATTATTTGAATTGAGAAAATTTTTGTAATTTTTCGCAAAAATGAACACCGAAAGTCGCTACTGAAGGAATTGAACTACGCATTTATATTGTAAGGGAGAATTCACCCATTTGCGTTCTTCTTTATTGTGAGCCTTTTTTCATGTTTTTTTTTATTTTCACATTTTGATTTATTTTCGAAAACCACCTGTGGAAAAATCTCAACCTTTTTTCTTTGATTATTTTCATTACATCGTTATTGCAATAATCTATGAATGTTTGACGTCAAAGTGATTACTTTTTTAAATTAAAACAAAAATAACTTCCTCAAGTCCATATTTTCGTACAATTTTCTGTTGCTATCACAAATAAAATGCGTAGAATTATAGACTCATAGTACGAATACATGTGTTTATAGTCACATATTGTTGGTTTGATGTAATGATAATGTGTAGGATCAGGAATCACACAGATTTTTTTTTAGTGAAATAACTATTTTGAATTCAACGACAAAGTTCTAGGTAAATCCTTTAGCAATGGGTAAATCCTTTGTCGTAATTTGCTGCAAATTGTTTTATGACCAAATGCAAACAAAACAAAAGCAAATTTTCCAGAAATCTGGTATAGATACATGTTTCGATGACACTTCCGTTGTTTAAAAAGCATAGATTCAATTTACTAACTAAGATGAGAGGAATAATTGAATGGTTTGGAGCGAACATGTATTACAGAAAATTTGAGCGGAAAAATGTCAAATGAAAAGGGATAGCTATATATTCCACTATAGTTTAATATACAGTTTACTATATAGCTACCCCTTTTCCGCTCATTCATCATCGACATTTTTCCGCTCAACTTTTCTGTATTACATTTGAACCCGTGAGCATAAAAAGAACGTATTGACTCTTCGCCGATGAATACGAAACGCAAAAAAATCGCCGAACAAAGTGAAACACCAATCTGTTATTGGATCAATATGAAACATGAAATCGTTGGCTACTATTTTATTTACGTTGCGCTTTGTTTCGAAGCGCGGCAAGTGTTCCATTTTGTTTCAGTAACAGAACGATGTATCACTTTGTTCGGCGACGCGCTCAATGTACTGTTTTGGAAAAATATGCATGATTTGATACAGTTTTG